TAAACAACAACAGTAGGCTAATTTGGAAAAGCTTATGAAGTTGTTTTCACTTCAAATCGAGTGCCAACTGTCGTTAAGTCGTGCCTCAATCACAGGTCTGTGATCCACATAAGGGACAAGGTAGTGATGTTCATCTCGTGGAGGCTGATATAAAGTTCTTTGACCATAAGCTGACCAACAGAAAATGTGGAAGTCATCGACATAGCGGCTGTTTGCAACAGTAGGAGGAAGCTGTTTAGTAATAGCATTGATCTTAATACTCAAAAGTGTGGCACTCAAGCCACAGCTCTGAGGGATTCCAACTTCTTGTGTGAAGGAACGGGACAGGGGCGAACCCACACCGACATGGAAACTCATCAAGTAAAGGTTACAAATAAAAATGAGTAAATGGCCACGCAACCCATAGGAGTGGAAGTCCACCAGCTTAAATGGATGATTATATTAATAGATATGATCAGCCATGAAAAGAAAGTGGCAATCGTTCAGCCCTTGACTTGATGGGAAAGAAGGCAAGGGAAGAGAAAGAAGTGTTGGAAAGGTGCAAAAGGCACTCCCCAAGGGTGTCAGTGATGTCCCGAATATCAGCATATTGTGATCCGAGAGCAAACGCTCCACAGAATGACCCCTCCCATCAACATCACCACCCATTAAAGTTTCCCAAGATGAATAAGGGAGATGGTGACTGTTTAATAAGATCATCAAGGTCCACTTGATCATAATCCTCTCCTGGTGACAGGTAAAGAAAAACTATAATCGCACAACCCATGTATGGCAACAGACTCCATTGGCATAGTAGGTGGCAGAGAAGCATGGTGGGGGGAATACTGTCAACCAACAGTGCCACACCTCCAGGAACTCGTCGATTACACAACCTGTCATTTCTGTACAAGGAAAATCGCCGAAAGGTGACAGCATCGGTAGGTCAAAGGAATGTTTCCTGTAAGGAGAGACACACAGGACAATAAGAATCAATCAAGACCTTAATATCATCTAAATTAGTATGGAAGCCTCAACAGTTCCACTGTATGAAAGTGGCAACTCGATGGAGAGTCTTTTTTTGTTTACGATCACGACGTTTTTGTTATTAGAAAGAGGTCCATCGACCTCCATGGCTTCCATCCTGGGTGGTGTGGGCAGGTTTCTATCAGACGAAGCAGATTCCAGTGATTGAGTGCGAGACCGAATAATGATCCTGCACCGAGGGACTAATGGAGAGGGGCCCGAGCATTCTCTGGATGCTGCGTTGGGGATAGAGACAGGAGGATAAGTGGATTTGATAACTCATGTATTGATGGAGGACAAAAACTGATGAGAGACTGTGCAAGATTTGGAAAGGTCTGTCTGCACCCCTACTGTGGCAGTGGAACAAAGTGCAACAGCATATGTTTGTATATAATAATCACTCGATCACGAATGTTTTCTGAAACAAACAAGTCCTATCAGAATTATGTAACTGGTTTTAGTTTAAATTTAAGTGTAATTAACTTATAATATTAAACAGGCTTGTCTTTTCCTAAGATAACATGTCCCAGAAAGTCAGCATAGGTTCAATATATTGTTTACGGCGCTATGTCGTGTCGGAACAGTAGTGATCTTTACATATTTCAATTTCAAAATGTTTGGGTTATACAAAATATCAGAATTAACCTTACAAGTATGCACTGTAGCATGAAGTCATACATTTAATAAACTTGCCCCATAATATTAGCAAGCAAATGGGTGCACTTGAGGTATTATATAAAATGGTCAACACCACCGTTTAATTTTTAAAAAATTGTATACTTTGAATACTGTGCTATGTTGAGATATTATAGCGTTTATACAGAGTTTTACCATTATTGTACTATTTATCAGCCATTTTCTTGAAGGAGAAAATTAACCTTAAGACGTAATTTTGTAAAGAAAGAGTAAGAAATATTAAGTATTTAGGCACATTTTATATCATTAAACTACGAGTTTTGGCATTATTACCAACTTTTATCAAAATGATACGTTTTATTAAGCCTGAAAATCTAATAAGATTCTTATTTATATTTTTGTAACACTATTTTCTCCACAACTCCTCTAATAGTAAGGTAAGAGGTATTTTACTTTGTTAGGGATCTTTGTTTTTCCAACCCCAACGTATAGGAGTGCAGTCCTGTATTCGGGATCAAATCAAAAATGTGTTATTTAGAACATGTTTAACAGTTTTTTTTATAGTATTGTGTGTTTAACGTAAACAGAAGATATGTTAACACGAGGGATGTGAAAGGAATAACAAAGACGAGCGTAGAGCGAATTTTATTTGACGACAGTTTAAACCTTGCTATGACTCAGCCCATATTTCTTTTCATCTTCTGTCTGTCAGCTGATGCGACTACGAACGCAGTTTTTCTTTCGGCACACTAGAGGTGCTGGGGATAAAGAACAGAGTAAAAGCGAACTGTCTTGTGAATTCCGTACACACGCCTAATATAGCCTGTAAGAAATAATAGCACTAGTCTATACACTTGATGATGTCATTCTAAGTCTCTCACTTTTTCATAGACGGTCAAAATAAACATGTGCAGCTTTGGTTTAACGCTCAGATAAGAAAAACAAAACCTATTTATCAGACTGTAAATTAGAGTCATCCTCTTCTGTACATTTTTACCAGCATACATACATACATACATATATATAAAAACTGTGGTTTAGATAGATATTTACCTGCATATCTAATTATACTGTAACATAACAGAGATGCTAGTTTATTATGTAGAAAAGCAGCGACCATCTTTCCTTTATTACAAGTGTGAATTATCTTGCTTAAATGTTTAGGTGCCAATGCTGAAGTGATTGTTTAACACAGAGTATGCTACTTCCATAGTAACTGTATGGAAAACCTAGGGTATAAAATAGATGAAATAACTTGAATAAAGATTCACTGTATGGAGTCAATCCACGTGGACTAAAACCTCAGAAAAGCTTGCTGTATTAATTTATTTGCGAGTTATTTGAATACGTCACACACACAATATAGTTAAAAACCACCATATGTATATACGAGAGTACTTGGCATTTGAAATGTTATGACTGCATAATTTTCAATCATTTAATTCATATTTTATTTACTGAATTGCTGGTAGGACACTGTTCGTAAAAAGTAAATGAACAAGGATCACTGCTCTGACTAAATTTATTTTATTGTTTGCTTGGTTCGGTTTTTTCTTTGGAAGGTTGGGGGTTGTGAAAACATTAAAGTTTAGCTTATAGCTGTGAACACTGGATGAAGAGAATCCCGTTTCTATTAATGATAACAGTTAATTTTTTTATACTGGTTTGAGATCGCCCATAAATACTGATGAGGCCGCAATAATCATTGATTAACTATTTATACTGATCAGATAACCGATGGCTTTTGTTTACTGTTTACGAAGTACGTTTGTTATTTTTGACAATGTTTTCTGGTGACAGGAGAGTTTAGGAAATTATCCTAAATCTTCTCATTAGTCTAAATATTTTACTCGAAGTGTTATTTAAGATAATTTATTTGTCATTTCACTATGTGTGTACTGAACATTGTATAGAACGTATACTTGAGTTTCATATAACGTGTTAACGAGATATGGCGTTTTTAGAATCAACATTTTCGATGCTTACTCATCACAAGATTATTTAATGAATAATTCTGTATAAACCTACATTCCCACAATCTTATTAAGGTAAACCTAAGAACAAAGATCTAAAAAGTTGATTATTTAGATTATATTGTTTTCTTTTATCAATTAAGGAAATTGAGCCCCCCAGTTGCACAGCGGAATATCTGCGGATTTACAAAGCTAGAGACCGGGTTTCGATACCCGTGGTTGGCAGAGCACAGATAGCCCATTGCGTAGCTTTGTGCTTAACTTCAAACAAACAATTGGGAAAATTGAACTTAATTTAGTCTTAAGAATATGACCTCTCTTATGTTGACATCTCTAGAAAACAATTAATTTGATCAGTCGATAGTAGTGATTTATGTTTAGAGTAAATAATTTGTAATTTAAGGACAACCAATGAAGTTGTCATCATTACATTGCAGTTTATTTCGTTTCAAGTTCCTGAAAGTATTATACGTAACCATACTTTTTTTGCATTTATTTTAGTGCGTAAGCTTCTTAATTCATCTTACCTTGTTTATAATTATTGCATTTCGTTGAATCGTTATCCAGGTAATAGAGTTTCCCAGAATCAGGACAGTGATTTATCTTTAATACTTCTCAATACCTCTTCCAACCAAGCTCTTCCAGATGTGGTCCAAACGCCATCTTCTCGTCTTTTGTCGAATACCTTGGTGGAGTTGCCGTTTGAAGCATGGATACACGAAACCGGGTCCATTCTACGAGAAATCAGTGCAGAATTTGAACAAAACTGGAATCAGGTGAGAAAGATACAAGCAGTATTTAGATTGAGTAAAACGTTTGCTGCGATACATTTTGTTTATAAATATCGGAGAGTGCGCTAACACTATGTAGTGATGGCACAGACGCCCGTACTAAAGCAATATAAAAGTCATCTGGATTTCCTCCTTTATAAGTTATCAGAAGCTAGATATCAAGAGCTACCTGGCATAGTTGTTTTTTCACCGGTGTATATGCCGCTTTTCAGCTATCCAGAGCGTCCCAAAGTAAAAAAACAGGCGAATAGCCAAAACAGAGATATCTTATTTTTGTTCATCATCATCTTTCTTCAACAAGCCTAGCGCCTATCTAGTTCTAGCAGTAACTATAATTTTATCATCATTTGATAGGGTAAAACAGTCTTCACGATCTCGGACTACCCATTTCATTATTATAATTACATACAAAATATTTAAAAAAATCATAATTCTAGTGTAAACGATGTTATTACTCCTTAAAGTTAGTTTTTTTTACATAAATCTGGTGTTCCTTTGAAAAGTTTAAGTATAGGGTAAAACAGGAATTACCAGCCGATAATGAATGAGCATTAGATGACTAACATGTAGAATACTATATACTTTGTACATTATACAATTGGCATCCTTAGGGAGCCAATCCGTATATTATGTACAATTAATAAAAATATTTTGTAAGTGTAAAGTAATGTAGGAATGGCAGTGCCAAATAGAACGCAAACATGAATATAGGGATGATACAACTATATATATAGACCATGCCTACATGACTTTCAATACCAAAATTTAATGTTAAACTGTAAAATGCGTCAGTACAAAATGGTTACGAGGTGGGTCAAATCGACCGATCTTGTAACGAGAGAGTCTGATAACTAAGACATGTTTTGACTCAACATGGTTTTCCTTGTACGCAAGGCCTAGGATCATAGTTACGCTACATTGAGCCTATCCTGAAATGACCATGATATTATGATAAACAAATTGCATACTAACAGTCAAGAATATATAATTTCCAACTGCAATAATATTCAAGTCAGATATGCAATTTACAGTGTAGCATTAAATTTTAATATTGAGGGTCATGAGGGTATGGCCTATGTATAGCTGTATCATCCCTATATTCTTGTTTGCATTATTTATGGCACTGCCATCCCTACATCATTTTACATCTACTAAATGTTTTTTTCATATTACTTGTATATCTTAATATAGCAAAATTACATATACACCGTGTAAAATTCAAATAAGACTTCTTCATTTACCAATTTTTCACGTAATTCCTGACTGTTACGTATTTCACGACTTAACTAAAACAATTTATTTTACCAACAGCTTTGTAAAATAGCAGCAAGTGGTAAATTTAGTAATTTTTATTAATCTTCAGCTATAAGAAATCACTTTCTCATCTCTGATAATAATTCACTTTTTTCATTTAAAAGTTTAGTACTCAAATATAGGACTTAATAGATTTTTTGCATTAACCGTCGTCCTTTCTTAATCTAGTGGGTTTATTGGTTTACTTGGAAGTAAAGAAAAGTGATTAATTTATGTAATGAAACTTTTAACCTTAAAAAAAAATCATATTTTAGACTATAAATTACACAGTCTCGTTAATAGCCTAGAATAAATGTATTTATTCATCTTAAAAATTTGTTTGTTTGTAATTAAGCACAAAGCTACACAATGGCTATCTGTGCTCTACCCACCAGGAGTATCGAAACCCGGATTTTAGCGTTGTAAGTCCGCAGACATACCGCTGTGCCACTGGGTGGTGTCAAAATGTGTGAAAAGCATACAAATACATATGAAATTAGTTTATCAAACTCTCATTCTGCCTTTAAGTTCCGTTTATTTATTTTTTTTTAAAGTGAAAAAAAATTTTGTAATATGACATACAGCATCCTGTAATATTACATATACAGCATCCTTTTATGCACCTGCAAGATAGCAGGTTAACAACTGCAGATAAAAGTTGACTGAATCATCATTTCCTTTTAGGAATTAGACTATGTTGTCATTTTCGGTTAAAATTTTAGGAAATGATAAGAATTTCTAGGTAAAAAGTTTTAAAACAATCGATAAGCCTAACACTTGGCCTGTTTAGTTTAGTTGTTTTTTTTTAAGCAAAGTCACACTGATCTGTCTCGCAGGGAAACGAACTTCGGATTTTAGCTTTATGAGTCCAACTTACCGCTGTCTCATCGGGAGACACACGTGGCCTGAATCGTTTATTCAAAAAAGAAAAATGTGTGTGTGTGTGTGTGTGTGTGTCCGTCCGGTGGCTTCTTTTAGTATGCTTATTTATAGCCCCCTCCCCACTGGCACAGCGGAATGTCTGCGGACTTATACCTCTAGAAACTGGGTTTCGATAGCCGTGGTGGGCAGAGCACAGATAGCCCTTTGTGTAGCTTTGTGCTTAATAACAAACAACAACAGCTTATTTAAAACCCATATCGAGTCGTCTTTAGGGTACGATTCCCCAAAGTTAAATTAACACGTGTAAACAAAAGTAATAAGCACAATTTCTTAAAAAGATTTTCTCCCGGTTGTAGTATTCAAAATTTAAGGCTACCTTTACGCCGGATGAATATTAACACAGTATTCAGGTCATAGACAGTTCACAAAACAGAACAGATATATTTGTTTATTTAGTCTCCCAGGTTCGCATGTAACTGTAGTCAGTAACATTAACACAGTATTCAGGTCATAGACAGTTCACAAAACAGAACAGATACATTTGTTTATTTAGTCTCCCAGGTTCACAAAACAGAACAGATACATTTGTTTAGTTAGTCTCCCAGGTTCGCATGTAACTGTAGTCAGTAATATTAACACAGTATTCAGGTCATAGACAGTTCACAAAACAGAACAGATATATTTGTTTATTTAGTCTCCCAGGTTCGCATGTAACTGTAGTCAGTAATATTAACACACTATTCAGGTCATATACAGTTCACAAAACAGAACAGATATATTTGTTTATTTAGTCTCCTAAGTTTGCATGTAACTGTAGTCAGTAAGCGCTGGGCGATCTTTATTGGCAGAAAATCGTTATTCCTTCCTGAAGATTATTTATTGCTACACAAAATTAATCCCTTTATTTAGTCACGGTTCTGACTGAGTGAATAATCGCCGACGGCTAAAAAGCAATAGGTTAGTATTATTTATAATACCTAATTAATAGGCCGTATTAAGCGATGCTTCAGTAAGGCTTATATTACACGTATCTTATAAATATAAAGCCGTCTTGAATGGACTAATGTGAGGAATTTCATCAATATGTAGCCTTCGTATTAATACAAGTTTAATATGTCTCAGTCAACATTGTCAAACCTTAAAGTTCGCCTCTGTTTCTTTTTTTTTTATTTTATAAAGTTAGTAATCGTTTTCATTTTTACTGTATCACAAGTGAGCATTTATTTCAATGTAGTCGACGAGGGGTGGGTGGGGTGTAAATGATTAGCGTCATAGGGATCGGAAGTTCCATGGTTCGAACACCCGATATGCTGCAGAATACGCTTCGCGCACTTTCAGTTATAGGCGCGTTATGAACGTGGCGATTCCACTATTCAATCGTGTATGCGGCAGGGACTGCTGACTAGTTGTTCGCTTTTTTTCAGGTAAGCAGTTTTAAATTAGGAACGGCTATGCTTGGATATACTTGTGCAATTATGTTATATATATGTGTGTCGCATAAAGTACTGTTCATGTTGAAAATAGCAAACGTCTTTCTTGATGGCGGTATTCCTTGTAGTAAAGTTTGTTTGTTTGTTCGTTTGTAGTTAAGCACAAAGCTACATAAAGGGCTATCTGTGCTCTGCCCAACACGGGTATCGAAACCCGGTTTATAGCGTTGTAAGTTCGCAGACAGACCGCTGTGCCACTGGGGGGGGGGGGGCTCCTTGTAGTAAAAAGCGTTATGCAACAGTTTTAATTTTTGAACTCTCAAGTCAAAATTATTGGGACCTAGGTTACGAAAACGTTGCTTCTAAGGAGCACTGTCAAAACATGGTTTTTTATCCAATTAATCGACAAACAGGTAAACATTCTCAGTCAACATTCACGCGTTTTTATCCATGCATTTAGGATGTTTTAAATTCTTGAATATTAGCCAAGAATTGAATAAATGGATGTACGAGAGACGAAAAAATTGCAAGAAAACAGTTCCTCTAGTAACAACAAATAATTGTTTCTAAATACTTATAATAATGTAAAAATATTTATTATTATTAGGCTTATGGTCTTGAAGGCATGCAGGTGAAACAAATATTATTCATTTCATGTTTATATTTGTGTATAAACACAAGGAAATAAACAAAAATAAATTTAGATACAACTCTCAGAAAATTGTTATAAATGAATTCCTATGTTCTATTTGTTTACATTATTGTTAGCAATAGAGCAAGTGCATCCATATGGATTTGTTGATCCAATTTTTACATTAATATTCACTTCTACTAGCCCACATTAACGTTTTCATCACGGGCTGGATCTTGGGTAAATTTTACTTTATATATATGATACACATGCTAAGAACTTAAAACATTAGATTCTGTTTCTGTTTTCGTAGGGAGTGTGCGAGGGAAATGGCGTCTTTCGTTATTGGTTGAACCGTATCTTCTCCTGGCTACAAAGAAACCAAAGATTAGAAACAGTTAGATGTTGGCATCGATATTACTCCAGTGGTGACAGATCACGTCTGGACATGTGACCTATGAACTATTCTAAATATATATTAAATCTATTAACTGATAAGCAGGAAAGGCTACAGTACATTCTTTATTGAAAATCGAATTTACAGCTGAATGGTTCATTGCTCAAATTTTGTGACAATTTGCCACGTTTTACATCCCAGGCATATCCTGGAAGACTACATTTCACACGTTAAAATAAACTATCGAACTCCGTTCTCAAGCCCGATGTGTGGTTCTGTTCACCACGAAGATGTTGTGTTTGCAGCATATACAAGTTTGTCAAAGACACTCTATTCTTTATTTGCCGGACAAATGAATCATTTATTCACAGCTACATGATAGCTGTGCGATATAAATGGAACTGAAAGAAAGACGAGGAGCAATTTATACACGTATTAGAAACAATTTAATCTCCAGTAAGAGTTCTGCAAAGTAGTGACGCTATAGTCGTTTTTATGGAAAAGTACTACCAAATCACTTTAATGCGGCATTTGGTCTCAGTTTCAGACATGTTTGTTATTTCACTCAAGCCAAAGTATTGTATTTATTGTATACAGTGTTACATTGGTAATTACTCTTGGGGTGTTCACTCAGATGTTAAATGTTTTATAAGTATGATATTAGTGGTGTTTGAAGATAAAGACATGTTGGTTTTTGCAATAAAAGTAAGGAATTATCTATTTAATAAATTGCGGCTTCTAAATTCTCAGTCATAATATGTACTTCTGACAATTTTCAATAATCAGGTTTTATTTTTTTGGTTGTTTTTAGTAATATTAAACGTAGATATGTTCATCTATACCTTGCTAGCTATTTCATATATTAATATCTAGTCCTTGTTTATTTTGTTATAACGTGATCAAACTTTTCATTTTTATTGTTTTTCCCCCTTTTGTTTGTGAATAAAAATTTAAGTATCTAATTAAAAGACTATGTTGATACGTCATTTATGACACTCGCACGCTTTTAGTTTTTTAGCTTTCTTTGATAAACATCAGAAACTATTTTAGTAGACAGAAATATCTTGAAAGATTACAATAAATCGGTAATGCGAATCGTAAATCACATACCGAAGCAATTTCTTTTGATTCACTGAAATCAAACTGTTTTACAGATTTATTGTTATGTAATTTCCTTGAATTAAATATATTGATTTCATTATTGCAGTAGAGACTTGTAGTTTTAAGAGTTGGAATAGTTAGAATGATGAGAAAACATCCGGGCTGTCGTGAATATTAGCTTCAAATCAATGCTAATTGTATGGATAATGTAGAAAATCTAGTAAAAGAAATATATCGGGGAAGTAATAATAATAATGTCTTGATCTTACGGGAATTGGTTTAACATATCTCATAATAAAACACCACGTATTTCTTTTAGTATAATTGTGTAGCAGTTTTTACGTGATGTGTGAAACTATCTGGACGTTTCCTTATCTGGTTGACGTGCAGTGTTAAACAAATTTCCTGTTGAACACTAGCTAAACCAATGAGAAATTTTCACCTATTCAACTTTTTAAATATTTTGTTTTAATTGCTGTTATGTCTTTGGTTTTTTTATATATGAGAAAGTGATGTGAACCCCTTTTTAAAGATTATATGATAATAATTATTTATACTACCATCAGTATAAGCTTCGACTGATTACGGCATGGCCTGATGCTTATGGAGCTCTACTTGCAATCTGTGGATCACAGGATCAAAACCCGTCGCCTTACGTACTTGCCCTTTCAGCCGTGGGAGTGTTATAATGTGACTGTCAATCCCAGTATTTGTTGGTAAAGATTAGTCTAAGCGTTGGCAGCTGGCGGCGTTTAGTGTATTACTTAGATTAAGGGATGGCTATATCAGATAATTCTAGATTAGTTTTACGCGAAACTCCATAAATGAACTGTAAGCTTAAGTTGTTTTATCGATTTAGTAATTAGTTTTTTCGTAACATGCTACTCGGAGTTTTTCAGAGTTGATCTCATGTGTTGTGATATGCAAGCTAGTTAGTCAAAGCATTAACACCGAAATTTGAAATGATCTCGATTATCTGACCTTCACTATGCAAAAAGTCAAACGTTATTAGTTACATGGGTTATGTAAGTATGGCATATGAAGTATCAGCGAGAAGAGATTTTTTGTGTTGGCGATGTATTTTATTGTTAAAACTAATACTATCAATTTCCAAAAACTTCTCAGAGTTGAAATATGAAGAATAACCGCCATAAACTTTAAGTAATTAGCCAAAAAAGCAAATTAAGTGGAAGTTCGATTTAGAAAAGTCCTGTAATTGTTATAAGATTTGTGTATGTCACTTTCGAGAATATTAAAGTTTTTAATGAAAAAAAAAAAAAAACTGTCAAACCACAATGTTAGTAATTTGCCAAAGATTGGCTATTTGACATATATACATGTGCGCGTGCGTCTACTCATACCATGTTTTATGCTCTTATTTTCCTTATAAATTTTCATATAGACATTTTAAGGTATCAGTATTTAGAGTTGTATTTTCAAACTTCAGTTGATATATAAAACATCGTAAAACATTTAAGTTTTGTTTAAACCAATTTCGTAGTTTGCTTATTTAACCATAGTAATGTGCCGTGCCAAAACCAGTTCTCCATAACTTACCAGAAATACAGAACAACTAATGAAATCATGCATTTTAATTGCAATAAGTAGATATAGTATATTTAATTAACTTTACTCATTACTGGGTTGATTTTTATTTTTTGGTGTAAGTAAGGTAGCTTGCTCTGATCTGAAGTTAATATCAATTAATTCGCTTTTCGATTTGATCCAGCTCTTGTTAACAAATACAAAAGCTTCCTGGATTCGTTTTGGTAAGATTCTCGGTATTTAAAACGATTTTAACACTTTTTAAAAATGAAATTCAAAAATGTGCGATCTTATGAAAAAATATTTATACAAATTTTCCAGATACTTTTGTAAGTTTCAAATACTGTTTCATGCATTTCATAATTGATCTTTTAATAAAAAAAAAAATTTCGGATTTTTCAGCTTGCATATATTTTCTGTTTCTTTTTATATTTCTTTTATATTTTCAGTGGAATAACGTTAAAATAATTATAGCAAGGCAATAATCACATGGTTAATACGGGAGTTCCGAAATTATTTGTTAGATTCCTACAAATATTTAGTAGTCGAATTCCTCTTCAAGAATAAATCAGTTAACGAAAAGATGTTCTTCATCAAACAAGCTGTCCCGCAATTCAGTCACATGACACCACAACCGTTCGAAGTTACGACAGGTTAGTTACATGAAACAAACGGACGGGATTTAAGCAATACGAAACAACCATATTATTCCTCGTTTTTCCAGATTTCCAACTAACACTTCTAATTTCCTATATGCGCTTGTTATTAGTCATCTAAGTCGTTGTTGTTTTAATTTCTATTTTTTTTTCTGGAATTTTTTGTATCTGTTTATATTAATTTAATTCTCACCCTGCGAGTTCAACTCGTGGGTATTCACGTTTTTCTCATTTAACCCCTTTTATTAACCATATCTTCAACTATTTTGTTGCTTTTCTTTTATAAATGTTGAAAAATAAAATCAAGCACAGCACTTAAATACCCTTAGAATGAAATAGAACCCAAACTATCGGAGGTTTTCTACAGTAAAAAGTTTCGACTATTTTACTGTAATATTTCGATTTGATTTCAAGCTCAGATTGACCTAAGACAAACGCACTGTACAGGAACCTCGAAGTGCGTGGGTTATTTTCTGTTTTATCGAATTGGATTAATATTAACTACTAAAAAAAAAGATAGCTACACTGCAATTAAAACTCAAGTTTCCGACTTATTTTTTCATACCGTTTACTACCGCTAGGGTCCAAATATTATGCAATTACGTTTTTGCATTAACAGACAGTAATATATTTCTCAATGAAAATAGAAAAAATAACAAGCTTCCATTTCTATCGTGATTGGTCAGTAAAACAACTCATTTACTCAAGTTTACAGAAAATGTCACAGATACAGGTAAATGCCTGGACTACAGATGAAACAGTAAAAAGAGAAGATGTCAGACTCCAGATTAATCAAGATCTGTAATTCTTAAGATATTATTAAGTTTCTCATCAAAATGGATAGTCTGAACACTTGAAAAAGGAAATAAAAAAGAAGATCACCACATATTAGAAGATGAAATTTACTGAAAATACTAATTGGTAATCAGTGACTAACAAAAACAACAACTAATAATTCACATCAGGTGATCGAATAAGGCAGCTAACCATGACAAAGACTGGAATCTGACCGCAAAAACCTCTGCTATAAGTACATCATGATTCAGTAACTTTGTAAATAAAACTTTTAAACGTTGTATTTACGTAAAAAAAGATGTTATTACTGTAAATGAATGTGGTGAAATTACGTCAACATTAAATAGCGTGCCCCAAATATTGGAATATTTTTATTAAACCAATTTTCATATTTTTTAAATGATCATACACGGGTAAGAGTTCCATATGGCACCCCCCACTCAATTTTAAAAAAAAAATTCATCAAAGTAATATTTATCATATTAATAGTATGATCTGATAATTTTAATATA